ATATATATATATATGAATACCTTTTTTGGAAAGATAACATTAATAAATAAAAATAAATAAATCTCAAGCCACTGAGATGAAGAGTTGTTGAGATATTTCTGTGTGAAATAACAGGAAGTGATGTCAAAGGGGAACCTTTGAATGTAAACAGAGTGCTGCTACGAAGGCTAACAACACAGACAGTAGAGAAGAGTCTGAAGTCTGGTTTATAGTTGATGCATTGAACACGGYGCCGAAAGTTGACRATATTGCCCAGTGCGGTGTCCCGGCGCGTCGTCGTGCACCTCTGAATTTTTGTAACTCCGCAAAAGCTGCGCATGCCGCGCACCATCCAAACAGTTTGTTTGTTCGACAAGTTTTTGCTCTCCTGTTTACAAAAAATTCACAAGTTATAAAGTGTTCTGCCACTTGTCCTTTTTRGAGAACACTGCAACGACGTAAGCCTATAAACACCTACACTGCTGGCGAGGGTTTACGCGCGTCCTGTGTGAGTACCCAAAGTGTGATCATAACCCAGCCTTCGTGTTTCTATAGATTATTTTGAGTCTCTATCAGAGAGATAAAGAAGAGTCAGAGTTCACGTAATAATGCTTAATGCTTAAACCAATACTGTGGAGTTTTCTTTTTCTTAAAGCATTCTGCTTTTATGTAACTTCCTGTTTCACATCAGCTGAGCCAAAATCAAAGGAAAATGTGCATGTCATGTGACAAAATTGGCAAAACCATGTGGATTAGATCAAGTATCCTAAATATAAAGATGTTTTCTTTGTCTTTTTGTATTTGAAGGATATGCATGTCACAGGCACATTGATTTGCTTCACATCAGCTGTACATCAGATTAGTTTTGTCTCCTTTTTGCTGTGAAAGAAAACTCTTCATCACAACCAAATTCATCAAAAGCCATGTTGAAACGTTCAGAAATTAAGATAATTTACTCTGGCCTGTAGCATGTGGTCCAACGTTTGAAGGATTCTCCTGCTGGTAAGGGCTCCACAAGCTTTTGTTTCTGTGCTTTTACTGTTGCAATTTGAACTATCCCCAGCCACATGGCAGCGTTCCAGGCTTGTACAAGACYGTTAGAGAATCCCCACATGGGCAGCTCAGAGACAAAATGCCCTTCTAATATTTCAAGGAGAATTACAGGTACTGTTTATAAAGAGGGCTATCACATATATTGGTATTCCGTCCTGGTTTAAATGACAAAGATGGTGAATTGGATTTCTAAATTTAGCCTGCTTGGATGTAGAGCTTCTAATGTGCCTGTGAAAAGCAGGCTAAAGCTGCCCTCACCTAGCTAAAGAAAAAGTCRGCTTGTGATGTGGGTTAAAACTCTGTAAGACCTGTTGACTAATGAGTTTTGAGGTTATCTCAGTAGCTTCTGGTCATATTTAGCTGTTTGCTTTTACTGAGGAGCTAAACGTGTTCAGGAAACTGACATCTTGGCAGCTCAAGCAATAAACAGATTGGGTTATCTGGCACCAATCTCGTGCAATTTATTAAATAATGGTACTAATAGTTCCTTTTTTACAATAAAAAATAGATTTGATCATCTTACACAAACTATGGAAGTGTGCATAACATTACATGACAGGAACAAATTGGGAATCAATTTAAGTTAAATGCACTTTATCTTCAGGAAAAAGAGATCACAGTTAGTGAAAGCTGAATGACTGTATTTACAAAAGGTGTTTTTACTATATCAGTACCATTATTTTTAATTTACAGCCTAAAGTAGTCATTTATTAAAACATTTTGTCTCCAAATTACATTTTTATTTTTAGTTTTTTGTTTCCTAATGTTTCCTTTCAGAGTGTCAAATTTTCTTGCAATCTGTTAAAGTGCACTTAGGTAGTAGCTTTTCCAGGCTTTTGTAGAAGGTCTCAAAATGCTTCGTTTTTGTTTTTGGCCATCAGATACTTTCTCTAGTTTCAGTGTTACGGAGCCCTCGAGGGGACATGGGGGATTTTTTTTTCTGTTGTTACTTTGCAGTACTGTTGTGTTACCTCGCATCTAGTCCTGTCATGATAACAAATTTTACTGGACAATAAATTGTGTCAGAAATTATTCTGATAAACGATAATATTGTTGGAGACTGATTTAAACTAAAAATAATGACATAATCACTGTTTACAGAAGTTTACATTAAAATTTACATATTGTAAAAATAAAAAACATCCCAAGGCATCGCCAGCTGTAAAACTGAAGACGCTCCTCTAGCTAAAGGCCTGTCCACAGGTTCTACAGAGGTTAGGAGACCATGCACCTCGTAAATACCTGACACCAGAGTTCACTCCGCTCTGGCTAAGAAGTAAAAAAGAGGGAGACTTGAAGAAAACAAAAATGCAGGCAAATGAAATTTATTGTCTTCATTTAATTCATCTTTCTCAATTTAATTTATCATATGATTAATTGATTTATTGTTTATTGTGACAGGCCTACTCGTAGCACTTTTTGTGTTCTTTCACAAAAGTTTGTTTTGTATGACTGAACTGATTCAAATCAGACTTTTAATTTAAAACATCCGGWTATTGGAAAAGGATGCATTGCCACAAGTTCGGGATGTTGACATTGATATTACGTGTCTGCACTGAGTTGAAATATCAGCATATTACATACTTCCATGCGTAGCCGTGTGCTGCATTTATTCCAAAGCKGAATTAAAGTAAAAGGCTAACTTGCATATAATGGTGAGCATGTGATTTTTATATGAAAATGGCAGGCACAACAGTGATAAACGACTTTTGCGATGGAACGCAAAAGAAAAAAAAATCCCCCATGTCCCCTCGTGGGCTCCTCCATACAGTCTAGTCCTTTAATAAATAAAAGTGCTTAGACATTGCACATTTGTAAACATTTAAAAACCTTAAATATACAAAGGCAAATAAAAGCGTCACAAATGGCTGAAAAATAAATACAAGTTTTAAGACGTCCTGATGCATCTCAGTAATGCAGATAAAAAATCAAAAAAGAAAAAAATTGTGTAGGTCTTCTGGACGGGTTCTTCTCTAATGAAACGTTTCGTCTCTCCTCCAAGAGACTTCTTCAGTCTGAGAGTTTCAGGCAAAATTCAGGCTTTTAAGCCCTGCCTCCATGTGACTGATACTCACATCACATGACTATCGTTGACACCTAATTAACACCTATTGTTAACAGGGGTGGAGTGATACTGGCAATAGCAGCAGTGTAGGAGGGGGACAACTGACATCGGKGAAACAAAGCAGCCACTGTTCAAAAGAATGTCCCAACACAGACGAGCTACATCTAATGGCCAGAACTCTGCAGTTTTCACTCATTTACAGGCCAGCGGTCACTCTTTCAGAGATGAGGATGTTCTCATTCTTGATAGGGAGGAACGTTGGTTTGAGAGAGGAGTAAAAGAAGCCATTTTTGTGAAGAAAGACCTTCCATCATTAAACAGAGGTGGAGGCCTCCGTTTTCAGCTGTCCCCCTCCTACAGTGCTGCTATTGCCAGTATCACTCCACCCCCTGTTAACAATAGGTGTTAATTTGGTGTCAACGATAGCCATGTGATGTGAGTATCAGTCACATGGAGGCAGGGCTTAAAAGCCTGAATTTTGCCTGAAACTCTCAGACTGAAGAAGTCTCTTGGAGGAGAGACGAAACGTTTCATTAGAGAAGAACCCGTCCAGAAGACCTATACAATTTTTTTTTCTTTTTAAGCTTTAAGATCCATCATAATTAAATAGTTAACATTAGGGCTGCAACGATGTTGATTATAAAAATACGTTGACGCAGAATTTTAATGTCGACGCATCGTATTATTTACCCACGTAATTTTCATTGGTAACTAATGCAGTCCACGAACTGCTGGAGGCAGAACCACTTCAATTGTTTATAAAGAGAGAGGCTGATATTTGGAGTTTTTTTCATTAGCTGTTTGGTTAAAAGACTACTTGCAGTTGATCAAGTTTTATATAATTTAGTTTTTATTATGTTTACATCAATTAATGTTTAAATACATCTGAGTAAGCTATTAAGTTTCAGGTTCAAATTCATGTGTTTTATGTGTTATTTAATTAGCGATGGGAATTTATGTTAGGGTAGACACTGAATRACAGGGTGACATTCACAGGTGAGATGAGATGTGCACTGGAGCTGGAGCAGAAGGCGCGTCCACAGGAAGCTTAGATTGACCTGACAAAAAAAATTGTTGACTAATCGACTAATAGGAAAAATAATTGCAGAATAGTTGTGAGTTGCAGCCCTAGTTAGCTTTAATCAATTAATGGTGGCAAAACTGTAAATGTCTGATTACTAAAGGAAAGATGAAGATTTAAACCTAAGGWGTTCAAAAAGGCTGATCAAAATGACAAAAGTAGCATTTAATTAAGCAACAGCCTTCATTTATGTTAAGTCTGTTCTTTATCACAACAAAATTCATAGAATGTGTTTTTTATCATTAATCTAGCCATTAAAAACAAACCAGCTCTGATGTGTGGAATGTGAAACATTAACTTGCAAATAAAAAGAATAAAACACKTTAGCAGGTTGAGCTGCACGTCTGAGTGAACTGGTCTGCTTTAGGATGTCAAGAAAAGCTGCAAGTATGGCCACAGTTCACYGCTACTCAAGTCTTCCTGAAGTAAACCTGTCATTTCCCAAGAAAGGCGACTAAACTGCAAGTTTTAAAACCTGCGTGGATCATATTGTACAGCGATAWCTCGACCTTCACAGATGCTCCCATTACCCACGTCACGTGCTCTGATGCCTCTGTTTTTGTCACTCAAGACACGCCAGATGGTCCTTTACCTCTTTAGCTCGGATGATGAAGCTGGATGATTTTAAAGGTGGAGATTTTACACCGCAYGAGAGTTTTCCATTTAGCACAATTTGTCTCAAATGAGCTCAGAGAAAAGGGTGTTTCTCTTTAAGGATCTTATTAATACTTAGAGTAATGTCCAAAACTATCAAGCTACTTATTATTTATGTTTTACCTACGTATTTTTTTCGTGCTGCAGTAAAAGCAGTAGAAGTGGATCCTTAATGTTCTATATGTGTTTTTATTGTAGGAGCATTTTTACAGTCAGGACACATTTGTCTTAATGTGTTGTGTCCTTCAGGAGCACTGTATGCAGGGAATTAAATCTGCATTATTAATAAAAACAAACAGCAGCTAAATGAAGCAGTATTTCCATGTTTATATGAGTTATATTATAACTTTATTCATTAGATTATAATATCCCCTTTTTGTGTTTCCTTTTTGTTTTTTCTGCAGCAACTGTTTAACTGCCAGGCCCTGAAGAAGCTCAGCATGCCCGATAACGACCTCTCCAACCTTCCCACCAC